AATTGGGGTCAGCAAAGAAATTGCTCGACGTTTTCAATCGCTAGGGGAGCAGAAGACCAAAGCACAGGCCGGTTCGATTCGTGCAACGATCATCACAAGCAAAGCAATTTCATTGGTGGAAAGATAAAGAAGGCAGTTCGAAGATGACGGACACGAATGAATTTGGGGAAATAGACCGCCTAGTAAACGCATATGGTAATACGGAGATGGAGGAAGAAGATGGGTTTCTTTTTGTGGAGGCTAAGGAATCAGGGAGCGAGAAGGTAGGGTTAACTTTGATAGGGACAATTACCTCTGAAAAATTGGTATGTTTCTCATTGTTTCGCGATACTATGGCTAATGTGTGGAAACATGTTAGAGGTGTCACTATGACTGAAGTAGGAGCACGCAGATATTTATTCCAATTTTATAGTGAAAGTGATTTGACACGTGTTTTGGAGGATGAAACATGGACTTTTGACCAAAACCTCATTGTTATTGCTAAGTTAAAGCCAAAAGACTTGCCTTTGCAAGTACCATTGAACAAGGCTGATTTGTGGATACAGGTTCATGATGTGCCAATGGTTTTTTTTTTTGTGAAAAATGCCATAAAAATTGGGATTTTTTGGGGAACTTTGTTAGGGTGGATGAACAAAATCTCTCTGCTGCATGGAACCCTTATATGAGGATAAAGGTTAATATTGACTTGAATAAACCCTTGAACAGGAAGTTGTTTCTCCAATCAGACGAAAAATTGCCTAGCTTTTGTTTTGCTTGCGGGATTATTGAACACGCAGAAAGATTTTGCCCACGCTATCCAGATGGCAAAGGGAAAAATGGAGATTTACTGTTTGGACCTGAGCTGAGAGCGACTAAAGGAAATGTAGCAGCGGGGGAGGGGGGGGGGGGGGGAATAAATGGCTGGTCCCAGATGGTAAAGGAAAAGAAGAAGAGGGGGGAACAACAATGGAAAACTTGGGTGTGCAGGGAGGGCCACAACAAGGGAAAGAAAGTGCTCACATGGGAGACAAATTAGAGCAAAAGCGGAGGCGAGTGGATCATGGAGAACCAGAGGCAAGGTTAAATAACATGGAAGTGGAGGTGGACTCATCGAAAAATGAGGAGGAGGCGGGTTACAATGCCCGCCTTATAGACAATTAAAAAATGCGACAGAGGAAGCTGCAGGGATGGAAGCACGCAAACTCCATCACCTGGAATTTTACTTTTGTTTTTACTTGTTTCTTTGCCAAGACTCAGTCTATTGTTGTTTTTTTATTTTTGCTTACAATAAGGGTACTGATTTGGTGGGTAGACTATTTATGATCAGGTTTTTTATGGATGGAGGCAATCAGGTCGACTCAGCCGCTAATAGCTTCTTTGCTCTCACCATTTCAGCGATTAGTCCCACTCTATATAGGGTGGACTATTATATGTCTGGACATGACGTGAGGGAGCCGATGGGCTTTTGGGTTAGTTGGTCAAGTGGGAAAGTTAAGATTTGGGGTCTTGAATATTGTACTCGTTATTTTGAATCTAATATACGTTATTTCCTCGCAAAAAAAAAACAAACCAAATACTTGTGGAATACTTCGAGCACGAGCCTATTAACGAGCATCACCTAAAATTCGAGTATATTTATCGAGCTTATCGAGTGTTCGGTTCGAACATCGAACGTCTATCGAGCCGAACACGAACCTCATTTGTAAAGCTCCTCGAGCTTCGAGCTCGAACCTGAACACCCCTATTACCGAATCGAACCGAGCTCAAGCTCTAGGTGTTTGGACTCCGCTCGGCTCGTTAACAGCCCTATTTGAGACTAACTTCTGAAAGATACGTAAGGTTTATTGGGAAAACAAAGACTTGTTTTAGTTCAACAACCGTTACTGGGTCCACCCTTGGCTAGGGTTGGACTCGGGCCGGGACAACCGGCCCGGAACCGGACCGGCCCGCTACTGTGCGGGCCCGGACCAGCCCGCTACTGTGCGGGCCCGGACCGGCCCGGTGAACCGGTTGGTTGGCCGGTTCAGGCCACCCGGCCCGGTGGGATGGCGGTTCGGGTTCGGGCCCGGACCGGGCCATTTTTTTTTTGAATTTTTTTTAAGTTTTTGGGTTGGGCTGGGTATTTTGGGCCATTTGAGGTGGTTAGCAGGTTAGGGTTGGTTTGGGGGGAAGGGGGAGGGTTGGGGGTTAACTAGGAAAAGCCAAAAAAAAAAAAAAAAAAAATAGAACCGAGGCCCGGCCCGGCCCGGCCCGGACCGGTTCCGGGCCTCCCCTTCATGAACCGAGGCCCGAACCGGAACCGGTCCATCCCTACCCCTGGCCTTGTCCAGTTGTCTCTAGCATTGCTTAACACAAGTGAACATTATTTTCATAGTAATACGCATTTGACCCCAGCCAGTTGGCCTAAGGGCTAAGTAGTGTTGGATTCGGTTCGGGCCACCCGGCCCGTGACCTGGCCCGGCCCGGTACTGTGCGGGCCCGGGACCGGCCCGGTCGGGCGGTCCGGGACCAGGTCTGGGCCCGAACCGGGGGGAAGGGGCGGGGCGGGCTCGGTTCAGCATTTGTGTGACCCGGCCCGGCCGGGTCGGGCCCGGGCCCGGGTCCGGTTCAATTAATTTTTTTTTTTTAATTTGGGCTCCTACTAGCCGTTGGGGGTGGGGCTGGGGACAACCCAAACGGCTATATAGCCGTTGGGTGGGGTAAAGGGGGGGTCCGGGGGGGTTGGGGGTAAAAAAACCTATAAATACTCCTAATCTTAAACATTTTTTCCTATCTCTTCTCCAATTCTTCCTAAATATCGAGGTTTGCAAATAATCAACAAGCTTTTGGTAATTTCTCATACAATGATGCACAAAATTTGACAGGTATGGCTAACTTACTTGTTGAAGAAAATTTGCCTTATTTGTTTTCTGAAAGTCTTGCTTTTCGTGATTATGCACAAACTTGTTTAAATCCGCAATATAGAGGTTATAGTCGCAAAACGGTTAAGAAAGAAATTTCAAGGCTTTATGGTGCGGAAAAGGTAAGGTTACAAAATTATTTTGCAAACTTTGATGGACGTGTTACTGTATGTTCTGACATATGGGAGGATACTTATCATAATTTACATTATTTGGGTCTGACTGTACATTATATTGATAATGATTGGCATATGCATAAACGTGTTCTTGTTTTCCGTGAATTTAATGATCGTCACACCGCTGAACATATTTATATTTTGATTGAACGTATTTTAATTGAGTATAACTTAATTGATAAGGTGTTTGCTATTGGTTTTGATAATGCTACTAATAATACTGCTTCTATTCCTAGATTGCGTGAATTGTGTGGTTCTACTTCTTTGATGGGTAGATTTTTTCATCAACGATGTGCATGTCATGTTCTAAATTTATGTGTGCAAGATGGTCTAAAAGCGTTGGGAGCATCGTTGGAGGTAGTCAAGGGGGGGATTAGACGTATTTGGGGTAATGGACACCTTAGGAAAAAATGGCATGATTATTTGATAGAAAGAGGTGAGAGATATGTGGCTTTTCCAAAAGATTTGTCTATTCGTTGGAATAGTACCTATAAGTTAATTGGAGTTCTTCTTAGATATAAACAACATTTTCCTGCTTTTATGAAACAATATGATAACTATATTATAAACTCGGCTGAGATCGACACCTGTGAAAAAATTTGTAATGCTTTGATATATTTTAATAATGCAACTGAAACTTTTAGTCATGTTTATAAACCTACCTCAAACCAATTTATTCGTGAAGCTGTTAATCTCGCCGGTGCTTTTTCAAATTTTGAGAATGCTGATTATGTGAATTATTTTGCTGGTTTTATGAAGGAAAAGTTTTTAAAATATTATTCACATATTCCGCATATTTATGGTATTGCATTTGTTCTCGATCCTCGTTTTAGACTTGGTTCTTTAGAAGAGTGTTTGAATTAGTATTATGCTGCTTTTTTTGGTCCATTGCCAATGTATGAGGACAACCCAATTGATCCGAAAAAAGAATACAACGAGGTTAGTGATATATTTTATGCATTATTCAATGAGTTTCATGCACAATATAGCAATGCGCCCCCTCCCCCGACACAAACATCATCTAAAGGAAAATCAATTTTCAAATCTACGTTTGCCAATCTTATTAAAAAAACAAAATCAACTCCCGCTACACAACAAAGCACAATTAATGAGATTTCTTTGTATTTAACTTATGATGTTGATTTTGAAGAAGATGATGATTTTGACGTACTAAACTGGTGGAAGGGAAAAGAAAGAATGTTCCCGGTTTTAGCAAAGATGGCTAAGCAAGTGCTATCAATGCCGGTTTCAACGGTTGCCGTGGAACAAGAATTTAGTTCGGCCGGCAATGTTCTAACACAAACCAGAACGAGGTTGAGCACTGAATCTCTTGAGATGCTTATATGCTACCACGATTGGTTGAAAGCAGCACGTAGAGCTCAAGAAATTGACATCACTCCATCCCAACACTTTATGGATGAATCTACAGAGGGTGGCTCTACTTATGCCGGAGATTCCGATTAAAAACAATTATAGTTCCTATTTAATTTTCAAATGTAGTTCCTATTTCATTTCAAATAAATGCACTTGAAGTTTGTTTTTTAATACTTGTATAAAACTATAAAGTATAAAATATAAATTTTAAAAAAAAAATTACCCGGCCCGACCCGGCCCGGCCCGGCCCGGCCCGGCGGGTGGCCCGACCCGTGACCCGGGCGGGTGGCCCGGCCCGAACCGGACCCGTCCAACCCTCGGGCCGGTCCCGGGCCCACTATTCTAGAACCGGCGGCCCGACCGGGCCTAGGCCCGGCCCGGGGCCGGCCCGGGCCCGACCCGGCCCGGACCCGACTAAGGTCATCCAATCTACCGCCTGGATCCCCACCAAAATTCAATTCCATCAAAAGCAAAAACATCTACTCAATTTTTTTAGTTCAGTTTTGAATTTGATATCAAACTTTACTCATGAGATAAATTTTACTCATATCAAACCACACACAAGAAGTTTTGTATGGAGCAACAGTAGGGGAAATAATAATACAGACGAGATCATTAAATCAATTGTGAATTTGTGAAAGCAGAAAAAGTTCTGAAAACACTAGTTCCAAAGTCATTACATAATCCAGCAAGATAAATTTGATAACATTTAAGGAGTAAAAAAGGCTAATGGTGCCATCAAACATCTAGGAAATCAGAAGCTATATAAAAATAATATTTCTTGCAAGGGGGTACAAGGCATGTACAAACAAAAAAACTAGAAGAGAATAAGTGGGTGCCCATCAGACTTAGCTGCTGATTTACAAATTGGGCATGCATTTTTCTTTAGTAGCCATTCCTTTATGCAATTTATGTGGTAGAAGTGTCCACATTCGAGTGTCCCCATCTCGTCATGAGCTTCATATTCCTCCTAATTGGAGGTAAGGCAAGTATGATATTGTCAAATCACATATACACGGAATGTTATTATCATTTAAACACCAATGACGTTCTAAAAAGCATTGCCAGTACATATTAAGATTTAGATTTTCATCTCAAAAGGTTTACCTTTAAGGATGAATAGCCCACAAGGGCTACAATGTAATAAGTAAATTTGTATCTTAACATTTGACAAGTACATGATGACTCAACAATACACAAGTAATTAATGAAGAGTATGGCTTACGCAGGGGACATTTTTAATAGAGGGAGGAATACTTGTTGGTTCCTACCTTACATGTTGGTTTGCATTCTTTATTTAAATAATGTGTGATGACTTAATAATACAAGTGCTTTGATGGAGCAGAGTTTCAAAGAACATACCTGACATACACTGCACATCTTTTCCGCTTCTGTAAGCATATGGGTCCGCAAGTTGGTCAATAGAGACAGTCCAGTTTTCCTTACGCAGTGTGCTATCTCATCTTCTCTTAGTCCTGTGCTTACGTTCCCGATTCTATCTCCAAGTTCCAGCAATTCCTATGTGCACCAGAAAGTGGAATTATGAATTGCGAATGATAAAGTTTATGTTTTTACAAGGTAGATAGTATTTGCACCGGATAATATCATTAGAGCGAACTGATGACATGCCTCATATGACATGTTATCGATGTCAAGCCTCAAATCTCGGTATCCATCCATTGAATCCGATCTTCCTCGCATTGTACTATTTTGTAGCATCACAACCTAAAACCAAACATCAAAAGTTTAATACACACACACACATATACCAAATGGGAACAACCCCTATTTAAAATGAGACTAAGAACTTCTTTGCCATGATCATAGGGTTGCCATCAATAAAGATGTAATAAATTAAAAAGGGAAAGAGAAAATAAGACATACTACCTCCGTTCTTTTTTAATTGCAACAGTTTGACTTTCACGTTTGCCAACACACAACTTTGATTGTAATTATCTTTAATTATGTATTAGTAAACAATATAAAAGTTAATATTTTAAAAATTCACATTTCATTTCATTTTCATTTTCATTTACCCCACTGCCGCAAAGGCTCCCACCGTGGGGTAAGCGGGGGTCGGATGTACGCAGTCTTACCCCTGTACTAAAGCACAGAGAGACTGTTTTCGGATGACCCATAGTGAAAATTCCGTCCAAAATTGTACGGACTCACTGTTGCTTCATAAGAAAGAAGCGCAAACAGTTTAGTGAGCCATTTTGCTTTATTCCATCATAATCTCAAGCTAAAAAATAATGAATCTTTGGCTCCATTGCAAATGATGGAAAGATTTTAATAAATAGAAATTTAATAATGTTTTGTAAATATTAATTTAAATAAATATATTAGTAGAAAATCATGATCAAAGTAAAGTGTGTGAATAGTGAAAAAATCTCAATGTTGCAACTATTAAAGAAACGGTGGAAGTATTAGTTAATAAAGATTAACAGTGTAAAGAATTACATCAATGGCACCTTCATCGATAACAAATATAAGAGTTAGATTTAAGATCAAACACCACATTTTAACTTTCATAGTTCTCACTCTAAATGAGCGTTCTTGTTTGATATCAACCGTATATGTGTGTATTTCTATATGAACTTGTTAGGATGAGTAATCCAAAATCTCGACTTAGTTATTTCATATTTAGTCAGTTGGGACAAATATTTACTCAATAGTTAATCATTTTTTTATAAGGGCACATACATTCACACGCTGATACTTTTTTTAAACCATGCATTTTCATTATAGTTGTGATACCATATTAAACTTTGGGGTTTATCTTAAAAGATGGACCTGATGGGGTAACCAAAAGTTTTATATGTTGGTTGTTATTTATATAGATGGTGGCTGACAAATTATTCAAGAATACTACATGAGTTCTGTGTACTTAACTAAATGCTACATACTTTATTCTTCATTTCTTTCTCTTTAAATTTGTTGAAGTAGTTACAGAAATGTAAAGGATGTTAGAACGTATATACATAAGACAAACCTCTGCAAGTCCTTCAGGAGAGCCATATCGAGAATGGCGATGATTCCTACACACAAAATGATCTACATGACATCTAGACAATTCCAAGGCACTGTCCGCTTCAAGAAATGGATTGTCCTCTGGGATTACCATTCTCCTAACAGAATATCTAGATCGCTGCTGTAAAAGGAAAAGAAAAGAACATGTTTATAAATCAGTTGAACTCCATGCCTAAGGCCCACTGGTTTCCAGAGGTTTAGTAGCACTTGCATTGAATGGAATAAAAAAATCACTAATAATCCAGAAAGCAAGTCACCTAATCTTCACCAAAGAGAGCTTTTGAGCTAATCAAACCAGTGTTTGAAAAGGTTCCATTACTTGAAGAAATAAAAGGAATGCATAAAAAATCATACGTATTACGTAGTACTAAGTATCTACAAAGGACTATCATCCAAATGATATAAATCCTAAGCATGTAAGTTTGGATTTGTCTTATTTATTATCGAACCGGTCTCAAGTTCTAAACCCAAACTTCTTCCTGGCTGACAAACATTTTCAGTCCTAGTCAAACCTTAAAAAATATGAGGTCTTAAATCTGAAAAGTTTATAGGGTCATTCAAGTTTGAAATTTTTCTATATGAAATACAAGAAAACATATCAAAACTATGAATCAAATGTTTAAGAATTGTGTATGGGACAGCTAAAAAAGTAGATATTTTGAATAATTGTGTTGTGGCTTGGGAATATGATGGAATAAAGCAAAATGACTCACTAAACTATATGTGCTTTAGTACAGGGGTAAGGCTGCATACATCCAACCCCTCCTTACCCCATGGTAGGTGGGAGCCTTTGCAACAATAGGGCAATGTTGTTGTATCATTTTTTGTTTGAGTATAAAGTTTGGTCAAAAGTAGCTTCAAGATAGTGACTTTTGTTTGGATGTACAAAAAACAACTTTTATTAATACTTAGAGTTCCACCCTAGAAAAATATCAGCCCAATACCTCATTGCACAATTGGTTCAAAACTTCTAATAGCATATCAATACTTGTCTTCATATAAATTAATGGCTTTACCTAGTAAACATTTACAAAATAACCAAATGAAAACAAAGAGTTGAAAAGTGATATTAAGCTAAGAAATTCAATTTCCCAAAATCAGCTAAAATTTCATCAACTGTTTTGAATTATAGTCTATCATCTCAAATATGTTGGCTTTTCAAAAGTAAGCTGAAATACTCCTGAACAGCTCAAATGTTAATCCCCATTCCCCAATCATTTTATGAGTAAGGTCATTAATACCTAATGATGGGGACAGTATCGAGATAGTTTGGTTTGTTACACACAAACATTTGAAGCATGTATCAAAATTATAGGTTGCTACAAATTTGACCAAAATTTTAAAAAGCAAAGTAGTATCTAGGCATCTAGTTATACAACTACATTATATATATATATATATATATATATATATATATATATATATATATATATATATATATATATATATATATATATATATATATATATATATATATATACTACAATAAAAACCACTTCAGGACAAGTTACAAAGTTGAAGAGAAATTAATGCATTGAGTAAATAACCTCTCTTAATGGAACTCTTTGGCTATCAGCTCTCCCTCTTCCTGTAGCGGGCGGCCTTCTTCTCGAAACAACAGAGGCAGCATCGGTAGAAAACCCAATTCCAGGACCACACCAAACATCAGGGGCAGGGACGCAGCTTGATGACGAGCTACTCCGGTCATCGAGGGCGGGCACCGGAAATTTGGGGGACTTGCTCCTTTTACTCCTAGCCTTCTTCTTCTTCTTCTTGACTCTCTCGGAGTCCCAGTCGGCCGAGCTCCTAATCATGGCAGGAACCGACACCTTCTGCGGGGCGTCGCACCCCATTCTCCTGAACGTTGCGAAGTTCTTTTTTTTAGGGGTGAGGGCAGTGGGCGTTGGGCTGATTGGGGAAAAGGGGGCGAGTAGAAGAGCAGAAATGGTGGGTTTGTAGCGCGTGGCATGCACGATTTCGGGTGTGGGATCTGGTTCAGCAGCAGCAATTGGACGGTTTTGGTTTCTTGCTCTTCTTGTGAGAATTACACTAAAACTGCTTCTGTTCATGTTATTGCGCTCCGATGCTGTTGCGGAGGCGCGAGAATCCATCGCAGGCGCGATGATTTTGATGCACGGCGGAGATGGATGAGGGAAAGCTACACACAGAGTCGAATCGGAAGGGGTAAGGGGAAAGAATATGACGAGGTGGAGGTGACTGGATGCGAAAGTCAAAATGACCGTCTAATCTAAGACACCTGAGAGGGAAGCCTCCATTTTTGTTTGTATTCTTTGCATTAATTAATATAAGTTAATGCGGATTCAGTTAATTAATGTTTCTAAACCAAATACTCCTCTCTTAATTTCAGCTTCGTGCGCAGATTCTAAAAATCATCACTTCAAATGCCTACACGGACAAAACAGCTCCTCAACCAAACATGTTTTGTCTATACATACAAAGAAAATGTATAAAAGTGTGTACACCAAACTTCACTCTTTCTAAAAATAGCTAGTGTGAATGAGTTTGACAAAGTTAAAAAAAATTGTTGTAAAGCATTTTTCGAGTATAATCTCACACACCCATTCTATTTTTAATGGTTGATCCATTAATATCCCAAGTCTTTGTGCTCCATATGTGTAGCCCTGCGATATTAAGTTGTCGCGTGCCCTTCCAGAACTTCCCTCTTCAAAATGTCGATAACATCCCATCCTTTTCCACTTTCTTCGCAATTTAACCACAAAAGATAGCTAAAGCGCATGCTAAGCCGCCACAACCCCTATTGAGAACCATTGAAGACCCCACCAAACTTTGCTAGCTCTTGCTGGCGATATGTTTGATTTATGGTGGTGATGTATATAAATTTTTCTCTGAGCATTTCATTTCATTTCTATGCCTTTAAGGTGTTTGTTAAAAGGCCACAATGAAATATTTATTTAATATTTAAAAAATGAAAAATTACTTACATGATCATGGGTTAAAATCCTGTTGGAACGTATTGTTTTGTTGATGACAAACAACTAGTGTTACTTGTCTTGTATAAAGTGATTGCAGGAAAAGAGTTTAAGTCGTGTGCTGGAACAAGCCGTAGACCCGGTCCTAGAACTGCCTTGCGAATCCAAGATTGATTAATGTGGCTCACTTAAAATATCTTTTCTCTTCATCCAATTTCGGTTTTGTCTTGGTCAATCACACCCCTCTTCTTCCTTTTGATCTCGAATAGATAGGCTGCTAGAGATAGATCTGTTGAGGCTTTCCTTCCTTGGATGTCCGGGTCAACAAGAATGAGACTTGCCATTTGAAAATCCTTCCTTCTATAGAGATCATTCTTTTAAAGACAACAGACTCGAATATATATATGGATCATATATCAATCAATGGAGATTACTCAAGAATATACCATCGGATATTAAGGGAAGCAAATTATTCACTTAGCATATTATAAGCATGCAACGATCTATTCCACATATTAAGTCATGCAATTGTACTTAGCATGCAGTGATTCTTTTCACAAAGTATTAAGCAATACATGACAAGCCATTAATAAGTGAATGTCTAATCATGCATGGAAAGAGAATAAATGACTTATGCTACACACATATAAAATAGTCATGCATGAAAATATTGTTAGTATATATGTCCTAGCGACAATCACTTTTTAGAAATATATGTACTTGATCACATTCAGTTTTATATATTTGATATATACGGTATTACACATTGATGATTAAGTATTTCGATTGTCAATATCTTATTCATAATTGTGTTCCATTGGACTTATGTTGTCAATAAGTAAGTGGGAGCTTATATGATATAACATAAAGTCCTAAAATAACCCCAATCAATGATCATCAAGAATGGGATATTGATGATATGCGATAAGATTGGTATGTGGACTGCATCATACTTTTAGAAAGTATAGTTGATCTCACAACTATGAGTACATGTAATTCATGATGGTCACATAGATATTTTAGAGAATATTTGCATACCCACCGAGAAACCATTTGATAAGTTCTATTCATGTGTCTATGGGATTATCGGCGTATAGAGTAGTGTAATAGTCCTCCGACTTGAGGTCAATACGTACTACATGTGCGGAGTGATGTACTTTGACCATGACCAACGCTTGCACTCCAATCGGGGTAGATACGGCATGTGTTGGGTGCATCACGAAGCACATGGAGTAGTAGTTGAGCCAAGAAAGGATTCATTCCTCATAGTAGATTAAGAGAGAACATTCTACTTCTCATATCTAGATGGATCATAAAGTCATTGGCCAATGCAAAGATATATTCGTTTTAGATATTGAATATGATCGTTATGGATCATCTAGAAAGATTGAGAGACAGAGACTGTGTTATTAGAATAGACACAGTATCATGTTCTAGACTTAGTTGAATGTTCGTTGAATGAAAGGACCGTATCACTATGAGCTCTATATTACAGGGAGTTTGAATAGTCCTCACAAACGTCCTTATATATTAAGTTTGTCATGTAAATCGTCTAGGGATTCTGTCAAGACCTTAATTTGATTAGTGCTTAATATATAAGGCCCTATGGGTCACACAATAAGTGATTATACCTTCCGATTGAATTGTTAGAAGGAATTAAATATTACTAATTGGATTACATAATATTTAATTCGTAATACTGAAAATGGATTAAATATTAATTAGATTAATATATTTAATTCATTATGTTGAAGGAGAGTTATATTTGATAGAATTAATTAAGTGAAATAAATTAGATTTATTGTACTTAATTAATTAAGATGTATTTATTTATTATTAAATAAATTGATATATTTCTTTTAATTTGGAATTAAAAGGGAAAAGAGAAAATAAATGATAATGGGGATGGAGAGAGTGTCGTGGCCCTCTTCCTCCCTTGTTATTATTTTGTTTTGTTTTTTATCTGTTTATTTAATTAATGATAAGTATTGGTTCTGGTAGGACTAGAACTCATTAATGAAAAAGACTTTCATTGTGATTGGGAAACTAGTTTAGAACTACTATAAATACACTCTCCTCCTTCATAATTGATAGACCAGTTTTCAGATTTAGTATGACCAGTTTATTTCCCTGCGAAGAGATTTCCTAGCATTTCTCTTAGGGAGATGTAACCGTTCTTTCGGAAAGGAGAAATCACGTGGATACCAAAGGTCAAGGATTATCACCGCTAGGCTGGGAGATCTGTAAGTTCTAACTCAGATCTGTTATTATTATCATATTCGTTATTTTGTCATAATCAGGGAAGATCTGTTTGGAAAAATTTTAAACTTCCGCTGCCGTACTTTCGAGGTACGTTACATCAATTTCCTAACAGTGGTATCAGAGCCAAACTGATTCTAATGACATCATACGAAATTTGATTAATACTTTCGTGGGTTATGAATATTTTTTAGAAAATATATTCTCCCCATATTTGATTTCCGAATCTGAATTCAAATGGAATTTTGATTTGTTTTTGAAAAGTTAAGATATTCTTTAAGAAAGATTTTAGGAGATGAAGGTATGGTTCTAACAGATGCATTAAGCCGGCGTTTTACAAAGCATGTTAGTTTTGTTTTTTGAAATCAATTTAGAATTAAAATTGAGATGAGGTGTTGTAGTATGATAGGGAGCGATTATCTCTTTCTGTTCTTTCGTTTCTCAATCTCCAACGATATTCTAGGAAGATCTTATAGCAACGCAGGCTATAGCAGCAGACGAGGCAAAGAATGACTCCAGACAATGGCCGACGCGATAATGCCGATGACGCCGTCCGTCGCCAGATGAAGCCCATGTTTGCCTGACTGTCTGACCGACACCGTATTTGAACTGCTGCCAAATTTTGGAGCTCTGTTCTTTGGGGTTCTTTTGGTGAATTAGATTTAACCTAAGGGCTTATTGCAAAATTTTAGAAATTGCAAGTTAAATGGGACTTTCTTTGAGGTAAGTTCAATCCGCATAGGACCCTGAGAAGTTGAGTTTGCTTTTAAGTCTCTTTGAAGAAGACTTGATGCGGGCTAATAATTTGATTATTTAAATTTCGGAAATACCACTACATAACACTAACGTGACTTAATTTTAATTAGATGAGATGAGATTAGATCATGTTTCTATGAATTTCGTTTTTATATTATTATTTTTTAAGCATGCTTAATTAGTTATATGATAATTGTATCTGTTTATAAATTAGATTTATATTGCATGCTTTAATTTTATCTGTTTGAGTTAGATCTCATTAACATATTGTTTGATAATATGTTGGTAGCATCTTGATTAAGTAATTTAATACCCCGCTAAACGTTCCCCATAAATTAAAATTTAAGTCTTATCTGGGATAACGACATCACCCATCATAATTAAATTAGTAGAAATATTTTTTCGTTGAAGAATATTTCACCCAAGTGTTTATTCCATTCGACAAAATATAGAACTAATTTATAGATACATATGTTTGTGATCATGTGATGGTTTTGACTTACTTAAATTAGCTCGAGTCGCCCAAGCGTCAGTGTTAATTTAGGGATGTCGACCAGTTTAAAAATTGATCAACCAAGAATTGCTTGGACGCAATTGGTCTAGGGACCTACCCATTATATTATTGCAGTGATCAGCCCAAGCTAGGACTGTAATAGTATGAATGTGGATCTTGGCCACTATGATTGTGAAAACAATCCATGTTCTTTTTATTGGGGTCAAAGAGCATGCAAAATAGTGGGAGCTAAATAATTAAAAGTCCATATTATTTATTTAACTAGATGTGATCATAGGAATTAATATATGATTTTAATTCCGTTCTATTTGAACTTCTTTAGGCTTTTAGGAATGTCGAATTTATCATTGAGAAGTATCCTGAATACGGAATACGTACAAGCTTACTGGACCAAACTTTCTGGACTGGGAAAGAAATGTGCGTTTAGTTCTTAGACAAGAAAATATTGAGTATGTGTTAGACACACCGGTACCCAAGATTCCTGATGCCAACTCTCCTGAGTTTGCCACGTTTGACCTGACTGCTCGAGAGAAACACGTCACTGTTGCTAAAACTGTGCAATGTGTTATGTTGGCTGCAATGTCTATGGAGTTGCAAAGGCAACACGATAGGATGAGCGCCTTCGAGATGCTTGAACACTTGAAAAGTCTGTTTGATTCAGAAAGTCAGACTCTAGAGTATGAACTTCTGACAGACATTTTCAAGTGTAGGCTTCAAGAGGGTGGCAACGTGTCTGAGCACGTTCTCAAAATGATTGGCTTAATTGAAAGAGTTGTTACCACCGGAATTAAGTTTGAGGAT